TCTTCAAAAATGACTGATGATATCAAGCTTTACTGACTTCCTCTAAGTCTACTATTTCCAACTCTTCAGAACAGAGGGAATAAATGAAGTGAGAAGAACACTGGAACAAGTCTAATAGACAAACCGAATAATCTCCGAGCCCCAAGGTCAAAGTAAAGCAATTCATTTTTTGGCTTCCATCAACACAAGACATGATTTATCAATCTAAGAGCAGGATTACAAACATTATACATCTCAATGATACGTTCTTTGCACTGTGTAACTTTTTGAACAATGATAGATTGCACAGTCACCACAAAAGTAATGTCGTAAGGCAATACTCATTATATGTGAAAATTTAAAACCTTCCATTTTTAATAACCAATGGGCACATTAGCAATCATTACTACTACACATTTCATTTTGGGGGAAAATAACGTTTTAAAATTCACATATTCCTTAGGATTCTGTCACCTTCATGGTCCAAATTTTGGACATTCCATGCTTCTCAAAATATTGTTCTTGTTGGAGCTAGCCAGCATGCAAGAGATAATTATTAAATACAAAATTTTTATATTCTTACAACATTTCAATGATAATTACTGTATTTTCACATGAAAATGATAAATGCCTTTTAAAGGATCAATACTTCCATAGATGTAAAGCTACCCTCAGAGAAGAAAACATTACAAGGAAGACTATGGGAACCGTTTTTAACATTATAAATGTAATCACGTAACAAGAATTTTGCCCAAAATTTTAGGCTTACTGCTTTACAAGCTTTAAAGAGAAGGTGAGATAGAAGAAAGAAGTCATGAGCCAGTTATTCTGATTCTGTTAATCTCCCAGTTTCTCTCTCACTTGTTACACTTAAGGAACAGTTCTATAAGTCAGCCTCAAATAGCAGTTCAGAAATTATTCCATAGTGTAATGTTAGATAATTCGAAAGATTTCCACTGAAATTAAATTATACGTAAAGAGTAGTCAATTGTGATAATGAAACTTTATTCTACATTCTATGCGTTTTAAATCACATCGCTATTTTCAGTGTTCTAAATTAGTGACCACTTTTTCTATTAGTCACAATTTTAGGTAAATTTTATGGCCTAGGTGGAGGAGGATAGGAAAAGGTGTTGTATCTTTAATTGATGATTCATTTCACCAGCTGCCAGAAAGTTGCACGTTGCAGCACACCTGGACACATGCGCCAGTGACTGATTGGGAAACACATTTATCTTGGCATGTCACAAAGGAGGTGGAATTATAATTATTCTTCCTTATAACTATAGGTATTTTGGAGCTGTGTCTACCCACAAAATAATACAAATTACACATCTGGACTAGGTCCACAGAATTTCACCATCTGTTCTCTATACTCAACCGTAAATATTTCCCAAAGCATTCTCTGTGTTTGAACAATAAGATTTAGTTTTGAAAGACCTGGGCTGATTGTCAACATAGCACGGAAATGTTATTTTTAAAATTAAGACATTGAATAAATTGCTCAAAACCTTGGATTTGTTTGGTTAATAAATACATAATACAAATTTAAACTTTACTTTCCATTAAGAGGATTCTCTGTGGATTTCTCATAGTCTGATTTTAAAAAATAAATGTGTTGGCTTAGTTTTACACAGAATCCTCCATGCAAATATTGAATGTCTGAGTGCCTAGCATGAAAGAACGAAATGTGTCAGAGGTTTCTTTCCTCAACTTAAGTCTTTGCTGTTACTCATTATCTTGACCTCAAAAATCCAGAGATTTGGACTTTCTCTCTCCTGAGAAGTTCCTTAGTTTAAGATCTTACAATATTATATCAAATTGAAAGTACTCCAGGAATATTTAATAAAGTTTGCAGAATCATAATTCCCAGGAAATGAAAATACTTCATCTAACGTAACCAGTGATAATAACCTTAGTCTAAATCAGTTTTGATAGTCACTTTTAAATTATTATAAAACTCTTATACCTTACATTTTTCCTTTAAAATACAAGTTTACTTTCTCTAAATAAAAAAATTCAATGAAATCGATACACAAGAATGGAGAGATTGTAAAATGCATATTCAGTTTCCATAATGAAAGTTTAGAGAACAGGCTTCAACACAATGTGAAATAATTCACATTTCTTTCAAAAACACTGAAGAAAGATAATTGATTAGGATATTGAAACTAGGAAACACTTAGGTGAATAACATTTTACCTTGTTCCTAAAATAAGGGTACAACAATAGTAAAAACCAAACAGTTTCAGGGAGATTAAAAAATGACAGTCACTACTCTAAGTACTTTACACACATTGACTAATTACCACAACCCAGTGAGGTAAGTGCTATTACTATTCTCATTTCTTGAGATGAGGAAATTTCTCTGTAAGAAAAAAACACTGAATCCAAACATCACTCTTCTTTAGTATTTGTATATACTGAATCACAGACATTATTAATGTGTGAAACTAAAACCATTAAATTAAGAAACAGAGGGAGAGAGAGAATTCTTGACTGGCATACCACTCTGGTAGAATATATCAGGAATTCAGGTCAGGATAATAATGGTGGAAATAGTTTAAAGATATGATTAATATACACACTATTGTATATATGCAAACAAAAATTTTTGCTTACACTGTTAAATAACATTAAAAGAAAATGTGAACTATATATATAATGTACCCTATAAGGAATGTTATGTTATAGGTCATAGCCACAAACCTACATTTTGCCATTTTTTCATAAGAAATATACTCTGATATTAGATTTTAGTAATTAGTCTCTTTAAAATGTTTTTAGACTAAAAAGAGAGAGTCATAATCCATAGTAATCTCTTCCACACAACGGAAATTCAATAAATATTTTATATAAAATCTAGTAAGAGCCATCTTTCCTGTGTTGCTACCTACACACTAATTATTCTCAAAAACAATTAAAAAGACAGGCCAACCTATTACCTCTGTCATCAATGGCTTTAGAGTCATAAGGTAGCTTATAATTTCATAAGGTAGCTAGAAAGAACTAGTTCCTAGAAATGTATAAACTCTACCACAATTCCATTTATAAATAAGACAATATTGTCATAAATTTGCCATATTTCTCAATAAAATATCTTTTCATATGTTTAAATTACACACTGATTTTCATAACCGTTGAATTAGATAATGTGAAAGATCATTTTAACCTCAGTTACTGGTTTGTGTGTTCAAAACTCTGACAACTCTGGGGGCCGGTCCAGTGGCACAGGTTTGGATCCAGGGTGCAGACCTACACACTGCTTGTCAAGCCATGCTGTGGTGGGCATCCCACATATAAAGTAGAGGAAGGTGGGCATTGATGTTAGCTCCGGGCCAGTCTTCCTCAGCAAAAAGAGGAGGATTGGCTAATCTTCCTCAAAAAAAAAACTCTGACAACTCTTGGTATGTGGCCAGATCTAATCAGTTTACTATCTCCCAATATACTTGATGTCAGAATTTCTTAGTCTATCTTAATTTGAATTGTCAACCCTTAAGCATATTCTCCAACGTCCAGGCTATTTTATACTATTGTACTTGTCGTCCCCTTTCTTGGACGTTTTTCTCCCTTTTTTTCCTCTCTCTCTCTATCTCTGTATCTCCATTTCTATCTCTATCTCCCTCGCTGTCATATTTACCTAGGGAATAGCTGCTCATCATTTGAGACTCTATATAAACAACATCACCTTAGATAGACTTAAGTATTTCCTCCTTCTCTCTGTTAAACTGAGTAAATAAACTATTATGGTACCAACCACACCATGTTACATTTATTTGTTTACACATTTGACTCATTGAATAGACAATAGACTCCTGATCACAAAAGTCTTATTCATCATCTAGGACGTTCATAGCACAATGGTTGAAATATGGTAGATGCACAATAAAAGTCAGGTGAATTAAATAACTTTATAATTCTGTCGATATCTTACACCATACTTCTTAAAATTTCCCTTTTCTGTCCATAGAATGTGTTGTTTTCCTATACAAAGTAAAATGTTTACACACAAATCATAAAAATAATTCATTTTTCTAAGTTAGTCTATTTTAGAAACATATATGTAAATCATCATCAAATCATCTAATCATCAAAAGTATTACCTTAAAACAAAAATTAAAAGCAATCATCTAGCTGCCGAAATTTACAAGTTTCTATAATAACCTAAAGTTATTTCTAGGCTTTCATAGCTAATTATTCATTAATTACATTATTCTCTTTAACTGCATAGTTATGAAAAAACTCATGTAAATTATTAGAAATAATCAACTTTTGGAGTTCGTGTCTTATGGAACACTTGTGGGTAGCTAACAGTCCACGTTAAGTTGTATGTATATGTTTTCATGAGATAGGTTACCAAAAATGCAACTTTATTCTTCTGCTTTCAGATTATCAGATATTCAGTATTAAATGTAGAGTATATAATATAGTTATTTACATGTAATTTATGATAAATCAAATAAATTGTATCTGCTTAAGAGAATGATGATGATGATGATGATAAAGTTGATTAGCTCATGCTGAATTCATTCTTTAGGTCTATTTTTTCAACTATGTAACTTTACAATTTTTTATTGTTGTTAGTTCCAGCAAGTCAACTCTGACTCCTGATGACCCCCGTACAGCAGAGTAGAATGCTGCCTGGTCTTTTTGCAACATCCTCTCATCATCTGACACTCTATCAGGAATTGTTCTGCTGCTATTCAAAGGATTTTTCATGGTCAATTTTTTTGGAAGTTGGTGGCCAGGTCCTTCTTCCTAGTCTGGAACTTCACTCAAACCTGTCCACCATGGGTGACCCTACTGGTATTTGAAATACTAGTGGCATAGCTTTCAGCATCACAGCAACACGCAGCCTCCACAGTATGACAACCGACAGACGGGTGGTATGGTTCCCTGACTGGGAAACAACCCTGGGCCATGGTGGCAAGAGTGCCAAATCTTAACCACTAGACCACCAGGACTGGCTAATTTTACATTTTATGCTTTATAAATATTTCAGAGTAAATGTGATTACTTACTTTTCAGGATTTTCCACTTCTTCAGTAAGAAAGTTGAGATAAAACCTAAAAAGATATAAATGAATTACAAACTATTAATACATTTTGTCCAAAGTTTCAAATTTTAAATATTTAAAATCAAACTCAAAATTATGAAAACTTTGTAAAAAAAATTATAGTAAGATGAAAATCTCCAACAACCAAAAGCTCCTACAAATCATTTTTCTGTTAAACCACATTATGGAGTTATTTTCTATTTCTTAACATTCTTTTCTTTTTGAGGAAGATTAGCCATGAGCTAAAATCTGCTGCCAATCCTCCTCCTTTTTTGCTGAGGAAAATTGGCCCTGAGCTAACATCCGTGCCCACCTTCCTCTACTTTATCTGTTGGATGCCTGCCACAGCATGGCTTGATGAGCGGTGCACAGGTCCGCACCCGGGATCCGAACCGGGGAACCCTGGGCCACCGAAGCAGACCCTGCAAACTTAACCGCTGTGCCACCAGGCCAGCCCCTCTTAACGTATGTTTACAAGTGTAACATATGAACAGTAAAGTGTACAGATCTTAATGCATAGCTTGATGAATTTTTACACATTTATATACCTATGTATCCAACGACAAGATCAAGAAATAAAACATTTCTAGCACCCTAGAAGGTTCCCTCATGGCCCTTTCCAGTCAATACTATCCCTCCCACCTTCCTGTAAAGGCAACCACTATTCTGACTTTTATCACCATAGATGAGTTTTGCTTGTTTCATCACAATAGACTAATATTTTCTTGTATAACTATTACACAATATTTATTCTTTGGTGTCTGGCTGGACTTTATGTTTCTGATTCTTATCCTGGTTACTATATGTAGCAATAATTCATTATTCTTTATTGTTTCTTTTCATTGTATGAATGTAACGCTATACATTCTACTATTGATGGACATTTGGATTACTTCTAATTTATAGCTCTTATGAATATAGATACCATAAATAAGCTCATACATGTCCATTTGGGAACCATGCAATCATTTCTCTTGGGCATACACTCAGAATACGATCACTGGATCATAGGGTAGATGTATGTTTACTGCCAAACTATTTTCTACCATTTTTGTGTTCCCACCAGCAATATATGAGATTATCATGTGTCAGTCACTGGGGGAATGAAAGTGGAAAATCCATAGTCTCTTATCAAGGAGCTCATAGTTTATAGGATGGTCTAGAGAATAATGTGATACAGGCTGGGAAACAATGCTGGAGCAGGCACAGGGCACCAGGGGAACCAGGGGTGAGGTCTAACCCAGTCTGGCAGAGGCACCACCCAAATTGAGTCTTTAAAAATGCTTAATACTTAGCCTTGGTGAAGTGGTGTAAGGACTTTCCAGACTAAGTATAGACCATGAGCACGGGGGAGTGGGAGAGTGGTTACACACAGGGGTAGGAGCAACAGTTTAGCATTCTGCAGCACAAGCTGTGGCAGGGGCAGTGAGAAGAGAATTTTACTACAAGATGGCCTTTGGCTTCTGGGAGTCCAGATTTTAGTCATGGTGACAGGTCAATCGAAACTTATAGGGCAACAGAAGTATGACAATAACATTTCCCAGTTTTAGGGAACTGGCTTTCTAGATATAAACACAGAGGGCAAATAGGAACCAAAAATGGGATAAAAGTTAATAAATTCTCAGTTCACATTTCTTCCTCTCAATTCACTGTTTTCCAATATGCATTCCATCCGAATAGTCTCAAGTCACGAGACTATGAAGTTGCTATTACTCTTTTTTGTATATTTAGGCAGCTAATTTTAGAAACACTGTTAGTCATTACACCGTAAGTTGATAACTAAAGAGCAGAACATTTTGAATATTTCCCAAATCCTGAACACTTTCTGGGTCGCTTACATGACAAGAAGCATTCTAGGCACACAATATTTCACTTTCAATTTCCATAGGATTACAAATATTACCCTAAAGTCATGGCCCTAGAAAAATTCAGATTCCTTTCCTTTCCTTTGTGACTCTACTTATCCCGCCCAGGAATACTTAACCCCTTGCACTGTTGATTTCTTTTTCTAATCTAAAGGGACTGCTGGATACCCTTATAGTTCCCTCTCAAGGTTCCAAGATGTAAGATTGAGACAGACTCCAATCTCAAATAAGCACACATAGACAACTGGGTGGTAAAGATGGGAAAACGCAGGGATCATGATGGGGGAGAGCTAACCGTACGAAGACAATGCCCTTTCTACCTCTTCACTTTATAGGCTTAGGAAATTTCCACAAAATAAAAAAATCATATTTTCCATATACTCTTTTCTCTTATTATTCCTTACAAGGTAAAATAGCCATTATGTAGGTACAGAGAAACACAAGTCTATAGGTACAAATTCTCTATAATCCAAACCAAACGGCTGGAATATTAGCCCATCAGCCTTTAATATACCTTAGGTATCTCATAACTTACAAAACAACGATGAGAAAACCTGTCTTATTCCATCTTTATAAAAACCTCATCTAAATTCATAAATAGGCAGTTGGTCTTTATGGTTGTTATAAACAGGACAACTGGCCCAAAATGGAGTTGCCAAAATGCTAAGCCACCCACCAAACTGAAACTTAATTATAGTTTCGGCTCTCCCAGAAATGGAATCTTAAACCAATCAGGAATCGCCTGATCACTGCTAGTTAGGTAATCTGCCTACTAGACTCCTGCCATCCCCTAAATGAAAGTAGCCTTGCCATACCTGCTTTTTTGCCTAGTATAACTTCTTTGTTCCCAGTCCCTTCTGCCTATGAAAGTCTTTCATTTTGTATAGCCCCTCAGGGCTACTTTCTAGTGGATGCTGCCTGAGTTAAATCAATTTTTGCTTAAATAAACTCTGGAAAATTTTGATATGCCTCAGTTTACCTTTTAACAAGGTTAAGGTGTCTAATATTTTAAAAACTATGCTTTAAGTAGAAACATTTGAACAGTCAAAAGAACAGGAACAATAAAGGTGATCTAAAAAGTTAGCAATAAAAGATTTTTTTTTAATGACTAGAAGGTAAGTTTCTAAACATAGAGGTTGTAGTTACACCAGGAAGGCAAGCAACAATCAATACTTATATCTAGAATATTCACTCTTAGGGATTTGATGTGTTTGTTATAAGCCTGAGGCAATGAGAAGTACATGAAGAAAATGCAAAAAAAGCCAAAACACAAAACCAACCCTCCACCCCTACCCCACTCTGCCAAAAAACAAAAACAACAAACAAAACACACACACTAAGAAATATTTCCAGCCTTCTCATGTCAAAAATAGCCTGTTCCTTCTTAACAGTTGTTTTAGAAACTGGTGTTTTCCAACAATGTTAAAGCAAGAAAGGAAATATTTATGAAAGAGAACACAATTTCAAATATTTGCCATAGCTCTAGGGAAAAGGAAAGGGCTTGGGGCGGGGTGGGAGGTGGGAAGGAGAAAGCTTCTTATTTTGGTCCAAACATTCACATCCTGTGGGAAATAGATCTTTATGCTCTCCCAGTCTTCAGCAATGAGTCCAGAACATCCTCATGGCTTTACATCTTCTCAAGGTGTCTAGAGAACGCTCACAAGATCTATTGTTCAGCTTTTCCATGATTGTGTATAAAAGACATCCCAAAGCTGGCAATGCATTCCAGTACCCAACTATGTGAATTATTTTAAAAAGAAGCTTATTCTTCAGATTAGATTTGACACAATGGTACAAAATAACCCCAGCTTTAGAAAAACTAAATCCACTGAGGATAGGATTTAAAAGGGAGAAAAAAGACACCAAGAAACTATTTTCTATCACACAATTAAAAAAAAAAATCCCACCAAGCAATATTTAACTTTGGATCTGGATATGGGACTGAAATTGGTTGAGTTCCCCCGGGCCACAAAGGAGACTAGCAGACGTATTTCTCTGAATGCAGACATTGGCAGTAATATTAAAGTTGTTCTGACCCAACTCTGTGACCTGGCCTGGGTTAATGATTTCTTTCCTTCTAATCATGCTTGTGTGAAGGAGTTCTCATCATTCTAAAAAGGTTCTGCACTCCTTATAGCCAAAAGCCTACCCTATTCAGATTCAAGGTTTGGCAGGGTCTTTTTCCTATTCAACATGAATGAGTTGAATTGCCAACAGAGCAAGGCCTCCAGGACAACAAAGTCTTGCTGCTTTTACTTACACCCCAGGTGGTTAGGTTCTGACGACAATAGCTGCTCTGTCTTACTTACTTGCTATGTCCCCCACACTTTTATTTGGCATCAAACATTGTCACAGCAGCAGCACAGGGAGTGGAGGTTCATTTACAGTGGCCCATTTATAATTCCACAACCCAGTCTTGTAATTATATCATGAAGGACAGAGAAAGGTCAGAGAGGCAGGCCCACATTTGGAAAGAGAATAAATACCCCTTCTCTGTGGGAACTCTTTTAGTCTCCATCTTGCTCCATTTACATCCAGATACTAACCTTTCCTTGGGAACTCCAAACCAAGAGACTATTTCTTCTAAACACAGCTTCCTTTTTCTTAAACTGATTGCCATTGATTAACAATCAGATTATATCTACCTATCCACAAAGCAGCATCCAGGTAGCATAACAACCTGTTATGGAAACATAGTTACTTATCTGTCCCCTACATAAGCCACTTGTATCAGATAACATTCCATTTAAAATCCTGGTCTTAATTTCTGATACTATGATTGAACCCTCAAGCATAAGAAAATCAATAGTCTCCTTTCTTTAAAACAGGGAGTGGACGTGAGGATTATTGGGTAGAAGTATAAATGAATGTTCATGTAAACCTCATTTACTCTGTAAACAGAGTGTTGAAGTAAATTTCTAGACCCACGATGGAGCCACTCAATCTGCAAATGCCAAGCCAACTCTGGGCTCTAGACTTATTTCCCCATTCCTTATTCATTTTCCATTTTTTTCTCCCTTGTTCTTTATTCTTTATCCTATAAAAGCTTCCTTTCTTCGGCTCCATTTTGCAGTTCTCTGGATTCTTGAGAGTAAAGACTTCCCGCTTCATGAAGTATTAATTATGGCTTGTCTCACCTAAATTGTTATTTATAATCATTTTAAGAAGAGTAACACTTTGGATTCAACATCAATAAAACTTAATGTTAAGATAATAGGATAACTCAAAATGAAAAGAATCTTTATACATAGGGAAATCTATCAGCCCTCAAAAGCCTCCAGAAGTGGAGAAGATTTCCTCTCCATAAAGCAGGTGACCTGAATATTCAGTGCTGGCAGTGGGGGAGTGAGTTGGGTAGAAGAATATTTTAAGATTCCGTGGGAACAGATGCTTGGTACTCCCAGGCAAAAGAAACTTCATTCAATAGAATTAATCAAATCTCCCTTGTGACTATCTCCACATTCCAAATTCCTGATTGAATATTGCCGTGCTCCCAACACTTGGCTCTAGCTGAAAGCTTTTGCCACCTCCCCACTTTGCTCTGGCATCTCCCGGAGACCCTCCCAGTAGCTTGGCTGCTGCCCGAGGCCTCTAGAGCTCTGATCCAGGCTGAGTAGCCCTAGAACAGTTTATTCTGCTACTAACTCTGTGATCACAACTCTGTACTTTCCTCACATCACATTGTCTTTTGGACAAAAAAAAAAAGACTTCAAAACTACTGAGTGATTCAAGACTAATTCCTATACACAATGGTTATAAAAATATTCCGGGAATATACAAATATTTTACACTAGACTCCTTAGACCTACAAATTTTTAAAGACCTTCAAACATATTCTGCTTCAAAAGCCGTGCTAAAATTTTCAGTTCCTGTACTCTCCTCATTCCCCTCTAATGTTATATGTTCATAATTCAATGAGATTAATAGAGTAAATAGTTCATTTATTTTGAAATATATCTTTATATTTCATGCATTAGCTGGAAGGTAAGAGCCTAAAAATGAAAGAAACAAAAGGAAATTATATTTGTGTTTGAAATGCATTTACATAATTTTTGAGCTAGTGTCATTTTCTGACATTATTCTTAGGCTCATAGAACATCCTCACAGCTAAAGCTATAAAACTATTAGCTCCATAAATAATAAAAAAGAAATCTTGCTACTAATTACTTCAAAACAGTGAAATTTAATTTTACTACAATACTTTTCTACCCAATGGGCTTTCCTGAAACAGTCACTTCAACTAAATCTTACTAGATCAATAAAATTTAATTAGGAAAATATCCCACTCTTATCCATGATTATTGTTATTCAGGTTCCTGAAGAAAATGAGGCATGAATACAACGTTCCAATACTTCAACCAGAACAGTACCAGACTTGGACATGCGTCAAAAGAAATGTACCCATGGCATAGTGATTGTAATCATCTTTACCACAAATTTGTTTTCAAATGTTGAGGAAATTTTAAGGAATGTGTAAGGTCCTTTCAAATGTAACAGATTACTCATACACCGATTTCACTATCTTAGTTTCTCCTTCTCTGCCTTTAGAGTACCATTTTACCTCCTGGGAACATCTTACTTATTTCTACCTCTGAATTATTTCTTTCTCATGGCAAGGTGGAGAAAAATCAATTAATCACTATTTGTAAACACCCTTGGAGTTTCAGCTGAAAGGCCTTTTGACAATCAAAGTACTAATCTTTAATTTCTCAAGGCACTGTTATGTCCTTACTGATACATACTTAAAAGTGATTTGTACTGGTTCTTAAGGCCCAGCATTTGTTTGCTAAATCTAGGAGTGGCCTTCACTGGAAACCTCAGTTACGTTTGTGTTAAGTCCTGTGCACAGTAATTGGCCTGGGGGAGGGAGGCACACTGTCTTCCTCATTTCAAGTAAAGTTTATCACACTGGATCATGGCTTTTCACATTCGCCTAGCACCTTGCTTAGCACTTGATCAAAACACTTGAAGGAATTTATGAACCATCAAACCACTAAATCTAGAGATATCAACTTACCAGCCAGCATATGCATACATTCCATAATAGAAAGCCAGTGGCAATCCCATAATATTTGCATCTCTTCCTGAAAAGGCATCTTTAAAGTGTTGTGTTTGCCCTGCAATGAGCATAGAAAGATTTTAGGACTTTTCAAAGAATTGGTTATTGTTCGTTCTTTAACCATAAACATGAGGGGGGAAAGGGGATGAATTATAGTCTCAGGTGTAGATTTCTTTCTCTCAGCTCATTGCCAACTTAAACTATCAATACTGTATCCATTCTAGAGAAGAAGTCCCAAAAGCAGAATGATCATCACTAACACTACTTCACATTTCTCTTTAAATAAAAATCACAGCAAAGAGGAACATGGCATTTAAAAAGCATCCCTTATTTAAGCATGCCTCTACTCTTAACAGAGTTTGACCATGAAAGACTAAAGGGTCTTCTGTAAATTATAGTTTTTAGGAGTGTGACAGAATTTTTTTAAGATGATATAATGCTTGGGAAGAAATATCCAAGGGTCTATTCTCAATGAGGCGGTGGTGAGAAACCCAAAACTACTCTCTCATATCATTTATCTTTCTGCTTTTCCCTTATAGTTCGTTAGATACCAAAAGGAGTTGGAAAACCCTGTGGACCAAATCTACGCTCCCCTGTCCCCCCTCCCACGCCAAGCTTCTTTTCTAAACAGAGTTTTATTGGAGCACAGTCTGGCCCACTTTTTTACATATTACTAATTTTTTGTTTTTTAAAGATTGGCACCTGAGATAACATCAGTTGCCAATCTTCTTTTCTTCTTCTTCTTCCTCTTCTTCTTCTTCTTCTTCTCCCAAAGTCCCCCAGTACATAGTTGTAAATTCTAGTTGTAGGTCCTTCTGGCTCTGCTATGTGGGATGCTGCCTCAGCATGGCTTGATGAGCAGTGCTAGTTCCGTGCCCAGGATCTGAACTGGCAAAACCCTAGGCCACTGAAGAGGAGTGCATGAACTTAACCCCTTGGCCACAGGACCAGCCTCACTATTCTGACTTATACTATGATTGGATGGCTGATTTCACCCTACAGCAGCAGAGTTGGGTAGTTGTAACAGAGACCACATGGCAGGCAAACTTGAAAATATTTACTATCTGGCCCTTTACATAGAAAGTCTGCTACTCTGTCCTAGAGAATGGCATGGTTTCCTCCTAGAAACACCAAAAGAAATTATACCAATCTCTAAAATAAATAGATTTTAACAAATTTTGCAACATGTGGATTGAACATTTTTATTCATCACATTTTTCTCTACTTTGTGAATCATAATGGGCTTTTTCTTGTATATAATTTGAATAATTTAAAAAACTAGAAATTCAGATTTACTTCAGTCAGCCAATATTCAAAGTTAAGCATAAAAATGTCTCTATTTCCCAAAGAAAACAGCAAATGAGATTATCCAAATGGGAAATGTGACTTTGTTTCAAAATTTCTCTTCACAGAAGTGAATAAAAGGGAGTTGAGAGGTAGATGATGTACGTAAGACCCTCTCTTCACTCCTATCTCCGTTTTTGCTTGGGTTGCCATATCAATAAAACATGTGTGAGTTTTGAGACTAAAAATGGAGAATGTTGGGTTATACACTAAATGATTTTTCCCTCAAAGCGTCCAATACCCAAATATAGCTCATTTTTTAAAATGATACTGAACTCAGAAGTGCCTGCTTTACTGAAACATTTCTGTGTCCACATAGATGGGAAATATAAATACTGGAACTCAGATAAAAACATTTGTTGAATATTCTTTTATCATGATCTGTGGTCTCCTTGGCCTTAAGGACACTATTCCTAAAAGTGTGGCGCTGAATGATCAATAAGAGAAAACAAACTTTGTAAAGACCAGATCCCAAGCAGCGATCCCAAGCAGAGATCCCAAAAAGAGCCATTTTGAGAGTATTACAGAAACGAGCTGTTTCTAAACTTCAGGAATATTTTGGCTGCATACTAGAGGTCTCAGGAAGATGAAAGTCATGATATTCAAAGGAAAGTTTAACAAATCTTTGTAAGTGAAGACAGAACATACAACTGTTTTCAGGATCTGATTAGAGTAGAAACAAATACACAACGCGTATTAGTAAAATTTTTCTCTTCCTGGAGTATCAAATTAATGTGAAAAACATGTGATTAAGTTTGAGATAAAGAAAGTCTCCATTTTATAGTAATAAATATACCCTCTACGAATGCTCTCCAAATATTAAAATTTACTGCAGACTCTGGTACTACTCTCAGGGTATTTCTCTGTTAGGTGAAATATATAAGAAAGCCTGGTCACATTAAGTACTGATATTATAAGTTTTAATTAAAGAATCATTCTATTGTAAGTGCCAAAAGAACATCCAAAAGCTCTATCATGACTCTGCTTTCATAGAATTTGCAATACAGTAACCTTTGGCAACTTCACCACACCTCACCTCACCTCACACACACATATAAATAAGTGGTAGACACTGACTGCAGTCTTACATTACACCAAAAAGAAAAAAGAAAGAAAAAAATCTTAGTTTTAAAGGATAGTATATCATCTTTTGCAAACTAAACTAGAATAAAGTGTGTCAATGACCCTGAGTTTCGACACTTTCCAAAAATGGAAGAAACTCCTTACAGAAGACTAAAGAGTTAGTCCAGGGGAAAATAAAAAAGCACTAACAAAACAGGCTTTTTTCCCCACATTTCTAATGGATCACATAAAACAAGAGCAGGCCAGCTCCGGAGAGGCCAAGATGAACCAGAAGAGCGAGCGCACGTCTTCTCTTCAATGTAAGGAATAGCATTAAGAAGCCTTATTCTGGTTATTCTGAGTTGGCTGAGGCTGCTGGATTTGATGCAAACATTTAGCCAGGAGAGCTCTATCTCCCACTAGGCTTATTAAATGGCCAGCAGCAGCTCCTGCTCCCCAGCTGCAGAGTGACTGATCTCTTGATGTTTGTTATTGTTTAATGCCTCTACTATCAGCCATGATTTTGCTGAATTTTGGCATTTCCTTTCGCCTTGTGTAATTCTTCTCCTGCAACTTCATTAAATTTCTCTATAAATTCTCTTTCTTGGAACAGACAGTATCAATGTAAACATTAAATACTTCACATGCCCAAGTTATATGTCACTTCTTGACAATTTCGTCTCACTTTCCTATTTATTTCCTACTATCATGCCCATTGCTAATTACATAATTCACCTCAACCTCCTTCTCTTCCAACAGTTTTCACTAAATCCAAACAAGTACCTTCTTTGCTAAAACAACTGAAACTCCAAATGACATCGCCTCCTCAACCATCTCATCTTTTCTTATTAAATAGTCAACTCTATAAGACAAATACGCCCAGAAAATGGTGTCACATTTCTGTAGAAAGGCAGATTTTACATAAAAAATAATGTAACAATAAAAATTGTTTCTACAACTATTTTTATTGTCAATTAATATTTCATTTTTAGGATTGCTATTCCCATGTCTCAATCGCCTTCTGTCAAGATTCTATTCTCAAGGTAAAAGGAATAATATCCATAAAGGAAAATAATTATTGATCATCTTTCATTAGTTTCCAAATATCTTTTTCTCTTTAATCTTTATTACTACCACTGAACTACTTTAAAGTAAAAATAAGAGGACTTACTTATTTGTGGTTATAACTAAAGGCAGATTTTTTTTTCCACTTTAAATTTTCACTCTCAACAGTTTATACCAAGATAATTCACCGACGCCTTATTTTGTTGCTTGACCCAGTCTTAATCCTCTTGTTGCCATTCAGTTGTAAATACCAACTCATCCCCAGTGTAGCAGACTTTCAAATCAATAAGATGACAGTATAGAGACTAAGTTCCACAGGCAGAGACTAATTAAGGGATTCTGCTAGTATAAGCGAAAGTTAGTGTTAGACCAAAAGCAGATTCATAGTCTAAAAAGCATTTACTTTTCAGTCCATACCTTTAATTAGCTGCATAACTCCAGGGACTATAATTATCACAATTGCTGTGAGCTTGCAAAAGGTTAGGAAAATCTGGATCCGGGCGCTCCAGCTGACACTCATGCTATTTAGGACCATCACTACAGCTGCAAACAAATAGATGAAGTTACAAAAGGTGAATCCTCATTGGCATGAAGACGTCTTAGATCCTGGCTACTCAAAGTGCCATCCGTGAACCAGCAGTGTTGGCATTACCTGGAAGCATTTTAGAAATGCAGAATCTCAGGCATGGTCCTAGACCTACTGAATGCAAATCTGCATTTCAACAAGATCTTCTAATGTTTATGTACATTAACGTTTGAGAAGTTTGGATAAAATCTCCAGACAGTAAGAAGTCATCTCTTGTTCTTTGTACACGTCAATAAGAGTGGACAAAGACTGTGGTGCCCTGACAATGATACAAAAATATCTTCTAAGCAAATCCTGAACTCATCACAGCATGCAATCAGATTGCTGGATGTGGCTCTTTGGCTTGATGTGGCAGGCAGCTATCTTCTCCCTCAATGACTGCATGCATATTCACCTGCCAGAGTGGAATCGCACTCGAGATGGAACAATATGTCGAGAAGTTGGCTGGGACCTTATTGTTCACTCTCAGGACTAGCCTTAGCCAGCAAGTTTTGGATTTCTCTTCTTCTTTCCAGTTAGCACATCAAGGAGAGACTTTCAACCTACCCTAAAAGTAGAGGCTTCCAAGATATGATTTGGGGACTTGAAAAAATGTTCTAAGGATGAATCAGACTAGATCTCAGGCTAGAAGACACATTGGGGCTGAAGCCAGTAGAATTTCTCTGTCTTAACGATGCTGTCTCGTTTCCTGAGCAGCACTCAACTATCCACTCTCCCTACATTGTGGACAATAAGAACCTTGAGAATAGAACAAGTGTTATTCATCTCTGTATTGCTAGTATCCAGCTCCATACCCGGCCCAGTTTTGTTGAATAAATAAATGAGCTAGATCCTCAATTTAGAAAAACTACCTTCAGCCAAGGAGGCACGAAATGAGTGGTGATACTCTGAGACCCTGCCTCCTGTGCTCTGCCAGAATGACTGAGGTTGTTCTAGACAGTGGAGTCCAACCTTACGCTCGTTCCAAACTTATGCTTAGTTACTCGCCTCCACCCTCGAAAAAAGCTATTTCTTATCTGGCATTTGCAATTATTATCTATAAGCTTTATTTTTTAAAAGGTGTATTCTCCGTAAACAAATAACAAAACTGTATGAAGATACTTCTCAGGTATAAAAAAAAATACAGAATTTTTATAATTCAAGTTACAGTGGGAAGTTTTCTACATCTTCAGTACTGAGTTATCTTCATAGTTTCCATCGCCTGCTGTAATCAGTAGCTCATTTCAGAATTTAAGAATCAGTGCAAATGTTATCAACACAGAACATGTAATGGCAAAAATTTTAAAATAATCTAGCCTCCTAAAGGAAGGCTAATTAAGGTACATCTTTTTTAATGGTTTAGTATGAAGCCATTTAAAATCACGATGCACTCAAATATTTATTACACGAAAGGGTGTTCATGACATATTACTGACCAATACAGAAAGTTACAAAGACAGGATAGACAATTGCTAGATAGATAGATAGATGGACAGATAGATAAAAACACAAAGACAGAGAGAAAGGGAAGGAAAAACATCTAAAAGAGCATTTACCAAAACTTTAACAGAGAGTATTTATAGATGATAGAATACTGAACAATTTTCAATTTTTATATTTATTTTTGTGCATTATTTTAATAATTTTTATAATGAGCATACGCCATTTTTAAGTAAAATATCAATAAAGCAATTTTTATTTTTGAAGAAAATTTGACGTTGGGAAAAATCAGGGATCAGTAGATCCCATACAAAGCTAAATAGGGGGTTACTAATGAAGAAATGTTTCAAAGCAGTAATGAGGAGTCCGGAGCAGTGAGAAGCTACATGGGAAGCTAAGGGAAATATTTTATCTACATTTGAAACTGAAAACATGAAGAAATAAACAGGTCCATTGTTAATGGCAAAGTGCATTATTTTATCAGAGGAAGGATAAAAAATAAGATAATTTTTCTCTCCCACATATAAAGCACTTATATATTGAAAAAAATTTAATGCAACTCTCCTCTCATCTTCATCATCCAGCAATTCTTTTCCTTTTTCTATGCAAATTACACTATAACAAATAAGTCATCATTTGAAAAGGATTATTATTTTAGTTAAGGAGATTCAACATTGGCCTGAAAAACGTTGGACTCATGTTCCCACCAGCAACAAAAGAGCACTGTGTTCTTTTAAGTAGAGCCCCTAAAACCCCAAACAGTCTCTATTTCTGAAAATACTCCACAATAGAAAAGAGCTGAGTATACAGAGAGGAAGGGAGAAAAAGGAGGAAGAAAGGAGAAAGAGAAAGAAAAAAAGGAAGGAAGGCAGGGAGGGAGGAAGGAAGAGAAAGAAGGGAGAAAAGAAGGGTGGGTGAAAGGAGAGAGGGAAGAAGGGGAAAGTGGGAAGGAAGGCAAGAAGGAAAGGTGGATGGAAGGAGGGAGAGAGGAAAGGAAGGGTAGGAGGGACGAAGGGAGAGGGAAGAGAGAAAAAGGTATTTTTATTTTTGAGAGAAAGAGGTATTTTTATTTTTGGAACTTCTGTCTATATATTTGAAAAGAGGAAAGAAGGTTTGTAACTTTCCTAAAGAATGTAAGTACTTAATGCCTATTGGAATGGAAAAAAGTGAATATTTGAGATTTCCTTTTATATTTTGTAAAGTTTTCTTGGAAAAATGGAAGACAAAAATCAAGCAAATATTGTGAGTTGATAATCTCGCCTTGCTTTCCTCTCAGATGCTGAACTAAAAATTCTGGTTAAGATTGATTTCTCTCAAAGGTTTCTCAAAACCCTGCTTTATCTGAGCACCCAGACATTGTTTTCATTATTTGGTACGCCAAATTCCAGCTGAGAGGTACCTCTGTGACCTGGAGGATACAGCTTAACAAGTAACAAGGCAGCTAGTACAGAGGCACCATGAAGGTCCTCCAGTGGCCAGAACGGCTGTTTAATCACGTGTCTTTACAGAGAAATTTAAGTCCACGTTACTTTGCTCATCTAACAATATTGAAAAGGGATTTGGGATTCACTAAATGCAAGAGCTTTCTGAGTTTCTAAAACAAATAGTATCTGCTTTTTTATAGACACTATCCCCACATTGTAATAATCAAGAAAATCTGAGCAAGCTCTCTGGTCCTAGTTTTACTTCCTTTGAATAATAATTGCTAATTTCACACATTAGGAAGTACTTATATCAATTTGAGCTTCTTTTTTTTTTTTTGCTTTCCTTAAATGTTGCCAAAATTAAAATACCAGGACATATAGTTTTTATTTACTTATTTGTGATGCAGTTTCCTAAGATCTGAGCTGCAGCCATGAAAGCTAAATGTATAAATCCTGGAGGTAAGAAATATATATTTGAAGGGAGCAGTATTTGAAGAGAATGTTTAGGGGAATGTCAAGGACTACCGCAGTGATTTAAGGACTGGCGAGTATTTCTTTCTGCACTTCCATAATTCCAGTCTGTCTCCGGTTTTGCAGAGTGAGATCACTGAGCCTGGATATAGTAGATTTTCTCCCATGTTCGGGTTCTCCCTGGCTTCTGACTTCTTATTTCTTCGTGCTAAACTGAGAAAATATATGGATGCCGTATGGATGCTACCTGGTGAGTTAAAGTGGATCCTGCCACTGTTTTTTGTAACAGCTGCCTGGGTTGCCTTTTATCTCTTTGTTAGCATTTATTTCCTGGATGCATTAATTTCAGAGAGGATGTATACCAACAAACACCATTAAAATGCAGAGGACAGTCCGTATCCAGGATCTCATGATTGAGAATAAAAATGGTAAGCATTACACAAACGTAAACTGTTATTATGTGGCAGACGTTGTACAAAGACTTTACATGGTAGTGTTATTTAATCCTCATATTTCTATGACATTGTTACCATCATTGGCCTTATTTCTGAGGTGAATAGCTGAGGCTCAGGATATTATTTAACTTGTCTCTGTTCATATAACTAAGTGTGAAGATAGGCGCAGAGCCTAGGAAAGCTGACCCCACTCTTACAGCTAATTCATAGGTAACAATGAGGAAGTAGCTTAAAAAACATATATTGTTCCTCTAGTCTACCTCATTCTTTCAAACACCTGATGGCTCTTCCTCTCTGCTAAGGTTCATGTTTATCTTGGCTGGGTTTTCAGGACACTTGGATTCCATATTTTATTGGTCATCCTCCTGAAGGATATGGTTCTTGTTCCACAGTACTTGCATATGTCAATACTATGTATATGGACCTAAGAATTGGTTGTGTTGGTAATTTAGCTATGGTGGAAAAGGAGGACATATAGCCAGACTTCCGAAGATTTGAACAGAGCCACACCACATGCTATATTTGAAATGCTAGCACAGACCTGGTCCCAGATTTTCTTTCACGTAATTTAATGATGCCAGGACAACACAGTTTTGCAAATACAGTCACGCATTTGTAGAACTGGCTAATTTTTTTCACCGTGTAGCTGCAAGTGTTAGTTTATTTGCTGCCCTTAATTATTCCCACAAGGTATGAAAAGCATGGCAGACTCTTTACTCACCTACATAAACTAAACTAGGGAGGGCACTGACGCTCAGAGAGGTTGGTCAGGGGTGGATCTGGGACTAGATCTCACATTTTGACAAAAGTATTTTTATTATAATATTCTGCCATTCTAGTGTATTCTTATATAAGGTGTAGTTTCAGAAGACCAGAACCAAAGACCAAATATCATTTTAAAATTAAACATACTTCAATGCTTATTGAACCTACCTACAAAGACAGTGAAAATTCACAGACTTCCATAGAAAGTAAAGGGCGTAATGTCAGTATTGCACTAGAGGGAGCGCCAAATGTGAGTATTTAAGATTTCCCAGTTAAACCTCCACGTGCCTGACGTGTTTACCAGAATGGACAGGATTTTGGATAAGCAAAAACTTTTCATCTTTATTAATTTGATAGAATTGAAGTAGAGTACTTTAAAAAAAGGGACGGGAGTAAATTAGTATTTAGTAACTCCCCACCCCCAACCCACTATCATTTCTCAAATGGTTGGTTGGCATTTAACAAAGCTTGAAATTTCTTTTTGCTGTGATTTGACTATAACAAGATCCTTCAGGTTTGCTCTTCTTCTCCACTTGAACTAAAGATTTCAAACTCCCACAAACTCTTTCCTTCCCCAGGGAATACAGAGAGGCAACTCACGCAATTAAACTCTGTTTCCTACCCTTCCACCCCGAACAGGCAGAAAATCACCTGTTATAGTCACTTTGAACAATGCAGAATGTGAGAGATTTGCCCCCAGGTACATTTCTCCTTCTCAGTCTCCATTCTCCACCCGCTGTTGCTCCATTAAGGCTAAATCTTTCTCAAAGACAGTTTGACTCTCCCAGTTAGGCCTCTGATTGCCATGACCAACCACTGAGTCATAAGAACATCCCGTTCTCTCTTTCAGTGCTTCTGACTACGGGAACACATTTCCTCAGAATCTCAAGCTTGCGATGGGAAGATCAAAATTTGTAAACTAATGTTGTAACTAATGAAAAAAATAGAAGGAAGTGTCTAGGTTCATCCAAGATTTACTCAGGCTCTTTGTTAACTATTCCATCTCTAGCCCATCTCCATTCCAATCTCTGCTCCAGGAGTTTTGTAAATGGCCCATACTTAGTTATCCTTACCTATAATTGCTTTAAAATTTTAGCTTGAATGGTTTCCTCTTACTCCTCTAAAATACAAATTTTCCCTTTAAGAAGTTTAATAGAATTGGGATAAGTAAGAAGAAGGTCACTTAGAGTTACTGAAAGAGTAATATTTTATCATTGTCCATCTCATTTCAAGTCCAAGCAGGCAATATTTGTGGATTCATAAATGTTTACAGAAAATCTACTGAAAGTTTGCTGGTTATAGATTCTAATTATTAACCAGTATTGTCAATTTATAGAGCTCTCAAAAATGCTACCTATCCTCTTTTTGCATATAATAATTGTGATATAATTCTACCTTAGTCATTTGAGGGATAAGAATGTAATGGGTACAACAATGGCTGTTAGTCCAATCCCTTAGTGGGACACCAGATTTATCAAGAACTGTCTATGGGGAACACACTCTGCTAAAGGCCTTAAAACTCTGACGTAATTTCATCTTTCTACAGCCATTCGAGATAGATTATCTTTTCACAGGTATTTTACCCATAAATAAAACTGACACTTAAAACGGTTTAATATTTAGCTCCAAATCACATAACTAAGAAATTGTGACACTAAGTTTCAGTCCTAGATTGTGTGTCTCTAGAACCTGAACTATAATCCTATGCTCAGATGGTTCATCCCACACAAGCTCATGGTATTAGATCTGAACATCACATTGATGCTGTTCATTTACCACCAATTTTCTGCTGCCTGAGAAAACTGAAGCTGCGTAATTCTCCAAGTTTAACAAGTTGGCATTCCATAGACTTCTCTGCTAGAGGAAAATTCTTAGACCTCTTCTCATAAAAATCAGTCAACAAATTTTTTTTGTTCTTTATAAGTTGTTTCCCATAATACTCAAGAGTTTGAAATCTAGACTCCTATAGGAAGTTAGAGTTATATTTGGCTTCATGTCACTTATGTAATATTGTGCATGTTCCTCTTTTTTATTTCCTTTAAAAAAAATTCCTAATATCTGTGCCCATTGATAAAAAGGAACAACTTCCTAACTTGGAGACCTAATTTGAGAAATGTTACTAATAATCAATTATTGAAGGAAGACTCTTATCATGACCGTCAATGGACAGCTAGAACTATGACACTGAAAGTGACAGCTGCTAACGTTATAAAATGTATAACACTATGTACACACCCAACACATAAACATCACTCCATGGGGATAAGTGAGTTATCATTCAACAAGTTATTGCTGAGGAAGGGTAATTTCTCATTCAAAAAAATCCATGAAATAATTGATTTTTCCTCTGAAGAATTCTATTCTTTTGTTCAATCCACTTATAGTTTTCCTAACAAAGTGGTTTTTGCTGTCCTATTTTAAAAGATTAGCCATCAGATGTCTTGACTCACTGCAAAACTGGCACGTAATAGAATATCAGGGATCACTCCAAATTCTTATTCTTTTTTTATTTTCCAACATAAATTTGGCAAGGAACTGTCAGCAAAACACTACAATGTGGGCGCAGTCCCACCAGGCAAAAAGTCTTTATAGCCAAATATTTTTGTGGGTTTTTTTCTCTTTCATATTTATACTCACGATACTCACTTATGCCCACAGCTGTAATGAGCTTGATTGCAAGTTCAGGAATTTCACATTGAATAAAAAATGGTTCCAGAATGTAGCGTCCAAATGCCAGAGATATCACAGCAGTGGCTGCAGGGCTAGGAAAAAAAAAATAAAAATATATATTCACATTAACTACAGGAAAAAACTGAATAGTGTCTTCACCAAACTTTTTCTACTTTGAGGTATCATTATTCAGCATATGGAACATGTTAAAGATGCAAGTCTATAGTTTTCAGAACTCTATATTTGATTAGGTTGTCAGAGAAATTCCAAATGAAATATTGTCCATAACTTTGGTGTCTGGCTTTTTGTTCTGTTTTGTTTTGTTTTTTTATGAAGAAGATTGGCGCTGAGCTAACATCTGTTGCCAATCTTCCTCTTTTTGCTTGAGGAAGATTGTCACTAAACTAACATCTGTGCCAGTCTTCCTCTATTTTGTATATGGCACACCGCCACAGCATGGCTTATGAGCAGCGCTAGGTCTGCACCTGGGATCTGAACCTGCGAACCCTGGGGCACCAAAGCAGACCATGTGAACTTAACCACTACACCTCTGGGCCAGCCCTGGTGGCTAGTTTTTAAACTTCACATATCCATGGGAGCATGACTAAGCGCTATCAGTTTTGTTCTCTCATATTTGACTTTTCCTTAAAAAATCTAGTTTATTACTTGAGATCCTGACAGAGCTGAACTTCACAAGAAGCAGTCTTCTTCTCAATAAATCAACAACTAAACCCCAGCCATAGCATGAATATGTTAAAAGTGCAGATCTCAAGGGTCAGGGCATGGTCAGAACATGAACACAAAACTCGACTTAAAAAATTAGTATTAATAAGTGCTCATCGCAAATATATGCTTATATCCTTGACATTGTATTATTCTTATTTTTCCAGTACAGACAAAAACCTGAAGAGCCAAGTGATTATTCTTAATTCCATAGAAATATTTAGATGCAAAGTATAAGTTGAAAAATAATAGTACCCTTGTAATTTTATAAAATTGAGAAAACAGGCATGAGACAAGAAAATGAAATAAGTTCAGGCATGTAGCAAGTTAGGTAACAAACCATTCTACCTTAATTCTTCAAATATTCCTATGAGAAAATTACACATGCCTTTCAGTTTAAAAATATGTATATATGAATGTATACTCTTTAGATACACGGACAAGTCCAGGGAATTATCTAATTTCTCATGCCAATCTTCCCTTTCAGCTTCTCTTCCTTCTCTTGGTGACCCAACACCCAAGCTCGGTCCCTAGACTGTCATAAAACGAACCACCATTATGTGTTCCAACCTTGGCCTGCTTATATTAGGCAGCGCCATAAATTTCTTGACTTCCTTCTTTTACTAGAGATCCTCTCCTCCTCTCCTCAAACATATTCTTCCTGTTCTCCATCATTTATCAATTTTTGATGTATAAGTTAAAATAGGATCATGTCATTTTAGTGCTTTCAAAATATGTTCAGAATATGCAAAAATCCTCCATTTAAGTCTCTTTCCCTTCCTCTTCAGTTTGTTTCTTCCCACTAGAAGGATCTGAATACCCTTTACCTGGGGGCCCTGCAACTCGCTGACAGGTTTTTTATACCTCAGATCTTAGTCCAATCTTCCTTGGTGCAAGGAAGCTTCTCCAACATTCTGACTGGGTTAGATCTCCAGAGAATACTCTCTTACTGAACCTCATGGCTTCGCTTTTCCAGCTCTTATCATAGTTGAACATTATATTCACTTGTGTGATTTCTTGATTGATAACTATTTCCCTCCTTTGACCCTGAGCTCCATGACCACAAGACTGTGTCTATCTTAATCACTATTTTATCCCCAGTGTTCAGTATAGTGTCTATCATACAGTAGAAACCCAATAAATATTGAATCTACGGTGAATGCGTGAATTCATTATAATGACCCCTGCTATGTACAGATGTCTGATAATTCTTTCCTTGAAAGATATGTTTTTCAGATTATTTCTGGCAAGAGTGACTTAAACTGAAATATGGTTTTAATAGTAAGTATTTAGGTACTATGAGTGTTGTCAACTGAAGAGAAATGTTAAAGTACACAGGTACCTTGTCACCCCTCAAGTCATTCATTACACTCTCTGTTTGAAAGAGCAACCAAGCAATGTGAGTCCATTATTACAAAGAAACACAAAAGCCTATTAAAAAAGATTCTAGAGTACATCTAGGTAATTTCCTCTGTCAAAACACACACACACACATACCATGAAGCAGCTCTCTTGCAATTAAAGTAACGTTTGATTATGAGCTACTTGGGAACAGGAATTAGGGCTCAATCCACTTTACATAGCTTTAACTTGCCATTCGCCATCTAGTAGCAATTCGTGGAATGAATAAATGAATGAATGAGCACTATATCTGTGCTACCGCAAATGGAATGATCATGCTCGTCATAATGATAACCAATTAGCCAAAGCCAGACAATCAATACATGACTGAAGAGGGATTCAAGTCCAGTTGGATCAGGATACAAAGACCACTATCCTGACAGGAAAGCACTCTAAATAAGTAGTGCACTCATTCGAATGCTGAGTGTGTTGTATTCAAACTATTACTACCTTAAAATTTCAGTCATTTATTCAAAAAGAATTTAACATCTATGATACTCAGGGCACTGAAGTAAGTAGTATAAGGGTTACGAAAAGTGCGAGACCTGGTCTTAAGTGCTTGAAATGCTTGCAGTTTTAATGGGGAAACAGAACACAGACACCTAAAATATTAAGCAAGAATCTAAGTTATCATGTTCAATGTCAAATGAGAAGCAGAGACTTCATTTTTCAGAAGAATTAAGAGAGGAAAGAAATACTATAAACCGAGATGAACAGGAAATTAACTGTGGAAAAGATAAGATTTAAGCTGACCTTTGAAGAGTAAGATTCGGATCATCAGAAAAGAATGGAAGGCATGTCTCAGGCAAATCCAAGATTTTAGAAAAGGAACAAAATAGTTCTTCATCATTATTCCATTATAACAAGTTTTAAATAATACAGAATTGCTTAAAATGAGAACAGAGTTAACAAAGGAGTGAATACTACTCTGAAGCTTTTTGTTAAAAAAGAGACTCCTAGGACTAGAAAAATCATGATTAATGTTGTCAATACTTATTAGCTCTGCATTTGCCACTTAGCCACCAATGAAAGGATAAAAACTTACGTGAGCTTTCAGCTGTGTACGCCTGATAAGTTTACAGTAAGAGCAAACTCCCCTAGTTACCTCTGTTAAACTCTAACCAGAATGTGCAAGTCACGCTTTATGGAAGCAGTCAGCCTTATGGAACTCTGACACTCTAAACTTCTCATATGACATCACAAGTTTTCCACAAAGTTGAAGGAAATTTGCTATTCAGAATGACTTAGCACTATTTGGTTTGATTTTCAACCAAGACAATCAGGAAGAGGAAGACATTTTCATAACAATAAAATCAAAAAAGACTTTCGCAACTGTGGTTCACGGATTTGTTTAAGCTGAGGACGTGAGTCATTTATGTCAAGGTTTTATTTGTTGTAAAGCATAAGACTTGGTGACACACTAAGTTGTTAGGCACAGAAGTTTCCTAATCATAAAAATTAAGTGAAGTTAAACAACTTAATGGTGTAATCTACAAAAAGGAAAGCTCCAACTCCTAGCATGATATTTAGTTTTGTCTGGCTAGTCAAGAGGTATGATTTATGAAGGTGGATTTTGATGCTTCATATGCTTTCAGGTCAACATCTTTCCTATAAATGTCATAGAGAATAAGTGAATATTAAAGAGAAGCAGATACTTTAAAAGTTTGGCATGGTTGGCAAACCACTGTCAGGGGCAAAACTTCCTTAAGAACATTAATTGAGGTATTTCATCACAGATTTTATGTAGACGTATTTACAACATAGTCACATGACATTCATGTTTCTAATTAGTTAAAACTAATCAAAGTGATTCAAAGAAGGGCATAATGAATAGGTCTATTTTTCCTTAATTTTTTTCTATCTATGCTCTTACCGTATTATGAGTAGTTCCACCCAGACTCGTACAAAAGCTGGTAACGGGCCAAAGACTTCCAGAATATATGTATAATGACCACCAGATTTCTTGATACTGGTTCCCAATTCGGCATAGGACAAGGCTCCTGTGAAATGTTTATAACAGAAAGGCACGAAGTTAAAACATTACCAAGTCATCCTGCAACAGAACTGATACAGCAATGTTTATGCTGCCTGATATGTGACTGCATGCTTTGGTCTGAATGACATCCTTATTTCAAGACAAAAAAAAATAGTCATCTGATAAGAGCCACAAGTTCCTCTTGCAACTTCTTCACATTTGATCTTGCAACTTCTTCACATGTGAGATATAGTTCATTCGATTCAAACAATGTAATTTTACTTAAAGTGGTAAAGACAAACTTCTAAAACAACATCATATTATTAAGAATTTTGAATCTCAAACCTCAGAACAAGAGAAAAAGAGAAGACAGATGCCAATAACTAACCTATTTTTGAAGAATATAACTTCATGCCAAGACAAGGAACTATTCCAAATTGACCTCCTTATATTGAGAATCTTTTTAATCAAGGTATTTCTGTGGCGCATCAAAATAAACAAAATTTATCTGTACTTCGGAAGCATATGGACTCTGGGCCTTGCAAGACTTCACTTAATTTGTGGGATATGTTTTATTTGTCAAAAAAACGAATTTTGACTCAGATATTCTATTTCTAGAAAATATTTTCTTGGATGTTTTTGAAGTGTACACTTCTGGGTAGTTGACATAGCATACTTCTAAAAAAGAGCTGCTATAACTTATATCTATGTACCTTAGGTAGAATTAATTATAAACCAAATTTTAACATCTAGCAATAGAATTCACACGGACTTGAGCAAAACCTCAGTTTCACTCTCTGTAAAATGGAGATTGCAAGTCTCAGCCCATAAGGGAGTTGAGTGTATAAATGTGATCATGAATGCCAAGGGCAGTACTGGGCCTGACACACGGAAATCACCTCATGAAATAAAGTTATACCTATTAATTTGAGCAATTGCTTACCAAGAAAATGAAAAATATAATCTGGATATTTTACGAGAAGTTCTATCCATAATGCTAAGTACTCAAATGTAACACAACTTTTGCCTGAGCAACTTCAGAGATTCAAGTGTGGGAAATTATTGCCAATCAGTAAAGCTTCAGGTAGAAGTGTCCGACATGAAGATAATCTGGATATTCAGTGAAATCTTAGTATCACTTATGCTATTCCTGAACCTAGCACTGTCTCAGAGTCACTGGGAAGAATTTTTTATTTAAAAACAAATAGAAAACAGACTCTAAGGCCATACCCCAGAACTACTCTCTAATCAAGAGAGTCCAGACTCTCCAATAGAGGGATCCAAGAAAATCTATTATTTCCAAACTCACACAGATGATTCTAAAGTAACTAGTTTGCAGATTGATATTGGGGGATCACTGGGAGTTTGCCTATTTATAACTCATTAAAGTTGCCATTCACTCTTTGTTGGAAACCAGTAACCATGTTGGTAGGCTGTACAGAAAAGCATCCAATATAAAATGCTATTGGAAAGAGTCTTAAGTACCTCAGAATTTATTGCCAGAGCATCAATACCTAGACCTGTGTACGCTCTGCTGAAACTCCAGGATGGTTACCCTAGGTCTAAATTGAGTTCTGGAGGAATGAGATTTTCATTTAAAGGTGTCAAGCTCCAGAACCATTTTACCCAGATGAAAAAAGTTCAAAACAGGATGTAAAACTCCATGTACTGACCCTGACTTTAAAAAAATTGTAAACCACATATATAGATTATTTCTTCTTAGTCCCAGAGTTCTAGAGTTTTAAGGCAAAGGATTTTTTTTCTCATACGTTGCTTTGCTTCCTGTTAGGGAAGCATCCTCTCAAAAAGCTCCTGGTAACTTAAGTGACAAAGGCAATGTAACTATAGATAAGAAGATTAATACAGGAGCGCACACTTTGCAATTAGTAATCAAAGAATACCATCTCGTGTCACCTTAGCTAGTCCCTTTAACTTTTTTTCCCTGAGCTTCTGCTTGTGATGATACACTTATGCAGAAGCGCATTTTCATAGTCAGGTCAACATCACTAACTAGTTCAATGCTCAGTGTGATCCATTTTTTTATATCTGAATAACTTTTTATTGTGTACAAAAATCAAATCACATAGTGGAAGCTGCATGCACATAAGTATGCAGAGTCCAGGAAGCTGGTTACGGTTTTCCCTTTTAGACGTGGATTTATTCTGAATATACCAAATGTTGTAGAAGATCAAAGACTGAGGGTGCACAAAGTTATTTAAGAAGAGCAACAGTTAGGTTTCTGTCTATGTTGTTTGTCTATATATGTACGTGCCAGAACCCTGTAGAAAACCACCAACTCTTATTAAAAACCTAAAAATAATTCCTCTATGATATTTCTATACTAAGGCTTTGTTTTAACAAGTTTTATTTAAAATACTTTCTAATAATGGAAATTTGAGTTCTCTAGCTGAATGACAAACCAATGCATTAAAATATCACAAGGTCTTAAAAATGATCAGATTGGTACCTATATGACCAAGAGTTAGGACGAGGTCCTACAGTTATGACCAAGAATTAGTACTAGAGTCCTTTTGGAATCAAAACACACTATTTGCCAGAGAGGAGCAAGTAATCTTAGACATCTACCCAAAGTATAAAAATAATTTAATTTTTTTGACCATTCACCAGTTTTTGTTACCTTTACAACTAACTCAGGTAGCTTTCTAGTAAGTTTCCCACCACATGAGGGGGAATTTATTACCTTTTTACTATTAATTATCAAATCAATAAAAGAGATCTAGATTTTGAAGAAAAATTAATAATTGTTATCCTTCTACCAGTTCTGCTCAGATTAACCCACTGAACAGGTGGACAAATTACCTGTGTCTTTGGAGACCAAGTGAACTATAAAGAAAGAAAACAGATCTGGGCAAGCACAGCAAACTAACGCCTAATTCCAACTTTACAATTTATATTGCAAACATTTAAAGGTATTGGGGAGATGTGAAAGGTGGAAATAATTTGAAGTACGCTCAGATCCTCGCAATATTCCTATTTACAATAGGCACTGAGTTACGTGCATCACACAGCTTTTCACGTTGAGGACCTTTGAAAGAATATTAGGAACTTGCAAGCACCTGAAGTTAAAAAAAATTAAAAGGAAAAGTCTGCCGCCCGTTCATTTTGCCAATAAAAAGTCAGTAAAACTTCTGCCGAATGCTTAGTTCTGTGTCTAAATAGGCTACAGCTGGGTTTTACTTCACAAGTGTTTCATTCAGCATGTCAGCTGCCAAGATGCCCCAAACATACGTAACCAAGCACAACTGCCCCGCACAGAAAGCTCAAATGTCTTTTACTGGCTCATCAGAGTTAGCCTTTGCTCTCATCGCCACAGGGTAAAGTCAGAAGATTGTCTTAGTGAGGAAAAGAGGACACAGCCTGCAGAAAGTCAGTTGAGGGAATTCAGGATCCTGCCAACAGTGGACGCTGTGTTTGGGTGGTTCGCATACCTAAACAGAAATCAGAAAGTCCGGCGTAGCCTTTGCCATTCATTCACTCTTTAAAAGTTCCCCTTTGCTTTCTCAGAAAGCAAACCGCCCAGCTCCACAGACACACCCCCAGAGAAGAAGCTGCACTCACCAAATAGTGACAGGACCCCACAGACCGTCCAGATTATCAGAGACATGCCCACGCTGCCCGTGTTCTGGAGCACGCCCTTAGGAGAGATGAAGATTCCGGCTCCAATGATGGTGCCAATGATGATGGAGATGCCCCTCAGCAAAGTGATTTTCTTCTTCAGCACCACTTTCTCCTGCTCAGGGGGCTCCTTGCTGCCCAGGGAAGGCAGCCTGCCGTTAACATTCCCCTGCAGGTAACCTCCATTGGAGATGGTGGACACAACAGGCTTTCTGACCATTGTGGTGACACACGGGGGAAAAATGAAACACAGGAAAAAAAAAACTCCCAAACTTGCAACTTTGGTTGTTCTTGGTGTGACTGATCAATCTCTTCCTCTCTACTTTCAGACTGTCTCTCTCAGTGCTATTGTGTTCATAGGTAAAAACTCAAAGGTGTATTTTCTTTCACGGCTATCTAATAACTCCTCAGAAACACGTGTGTGTTCATGGTGCTCTCGGCTCCTTCACCTCCTCTGACTACCTCTGCTGCTGCGGCTGCTGCTGCCGCCCTATCGTTACAGACCAGCTCAGCTTCCTCATGGGCTGGTATTTAAGCTCCTGCCTGTCACACCAACTTACTCCAGCTAAATGATGATGCAAATTCTCCAGGTTTGCATCAGCCACATGAGAAGGCGCCAGCATTACTCAGCTCTTTTTTCTTTTTTTTTTTCACATTAGCAGCATGTTGCTCAACTGACCTAAGCTTTTCAGAGAACAAAGCACACACTTAAAAGGGATCTTAACCATCCAGAAGTAGTAAATAAGGAACAGAACTTCCCAGAGATTTAAAGCAACTCTTAGTGAGGGGCAAAAGCTCTTCATGCAAAAAGAAAATGAAAAATGAAACAGGAAATGATCACGGCATTGTAAAGAGTTTCTTTCTTCTTTAACTTCCCTTCCGTATAAAACATCTGACACGCAACTGTTTTGATAATAGAACGTAACTAAGAGCTTCATTGTTTATTACAACCCAATTTAGATTTCATAAGATGTTTCCTGATTAGTTTAATTTTTTTTAAATTTTGGGTTTCCTAGCAACACAGTCAAATCTAATATTTACAAAGCTAGAATGATTCTGCATAGCTGCTGTCACGCACATAACAATTGTGAGCCTGACTCAACTTCAAAAGATAAAAATTATTTCTTACTACCCATAATAAATCAGTATATAAAATCACCATATGACTGTGACAAAGTTAAAAGTCACGGTGACTCTAGAAAATAGTCGTTTCCTGATTCTCATTAGCACTAGGTGATCTCTTAAACTAAGTAAAAGATATTCTTCATTTGCATACTGTTCCATCCAATTTCAAAAAAATCCAATTTCAAAATTAAGCAATAACTACAATGACATTAAAACGTGCATATAGCAAAAGTTTGAAAAAGAATACACAGAATAACAGTTGTGGAAGGTGATGATATTATGTATGATTTTTTCTAAAGTGTAAGAACTTTGTTATTTTATGATTATAAATTTAAAATGAATTAGAAATAGAATGTTTAGTTTGAAACAGTAAAAAAGGCAAAACATTTTTAAACTCTATTAACTTTCTTAATCAAGAGTCCATAAAACAAATACCAAAAGAAAAGAAATCTTAGATGTCACTTTTGGCTGTGGGTATAGGTAGTTTTCGATTCAGTGAGAATCGGATGTTATCATTACCCTGAGGCTACATTTGCAAACATCATTGAATGTGCTTCCGAATGTCTGAACAAAAACAGCAGACAAAAAACTTGTGTGCAAGAAGTGGGAACCGGGAGGAGGGTCAAGACAGATATAAGAAAGAAACAGCCTCCAGAAAAGTAGCATGAAGAATGTCAGAGCCGTTTTCTGTTATGTGGGCACCTGAGAAAATTATATCACATCAATGCTCCACTCTCCAAATAATTAGGCTACATCATTTCCTTTTTATATTATTTACCTAATCCCTACATAATTTGCTTTGGGTATACCAAGTCAGGGTTTTTATAAAGCCAAAATAAATACTTTTTCTCAGCTGGATGGCCTTCAAAAAATAAAAATGGGTAATTTTCCTCATTCAATCTTGTGGAAATTCCAAAAAAGGAAGCAAAAGGAAGATTTGTCCCCTATTTCTCCTCCTGCTTCTGTGTGTCCTTCCACTCACACAATTCTCCTGATTAATGCACATAATGGAGAGAGGACAGGACTTTGTTTCCAGAAAAGGGAACAGATTAGCTCTAAAGAAATGTGAGTTAAAAGTCGAACACTAGAAATCTCAGGGCACAACTTCTCATCTCTCACTAACTCAGAGCTCACTTCAATTTTAAATTTTGTGCTAAATGACTGAACTCATAAATTGAGACTAACACTGCACTCAGACAGGAAGTTAGATAAATTTTAAAGAAGGAAAAAATGTTCTTTAAATATCAAATAACATTGCAATCCTCATTCACAATATTTAAAAAAATAATTATGAAGAAATTTGCTGAAGTTAGACTAATGTCTGAAAGGATTATACTTTCACATAAAAGAGAGTTACATTGAAAAATTCTGCAAAGCTGTACATAGTTACCAATGACACCAGTATACCTCTTCCAATCACCCAGAAATTTGCAAAAAATGCAGGTTACAAAGAAAGTGTTGAGTTATCTTCTATGTTAACAAGCCCTTATAATCAACTAAACTTATGAACTAAGGATTTGGATGGTCTTCAAATATGTATGTATCATAAAAACGAGTTCCAAGCAAATAAGTTTATATTCTTCCTCCTGCTTTTGGCCTTATTTTAAGCATTCCTGTCAAATTAGGAGACTATTCTAATGCTATTTATAAATATTTATTTAGTGCATACTGCGCACAAGGAATAGCCCCAGGTCTCTAAAAGCATCTCATGTAAGAAATAGACATGGTACATACACTATGGTGCCTTCCTTTTTCTGGTAATAATTTCTGTCCCATGATTATATATATGGGCATGTAACGACCTGGCCAAAAGTAATCATCTCCCTAGCTACAGGGTATAGGAATGTGACCTGAGCTGGGATATTTCTAAACAGAATTAGATTTATCTTTTCTCATCTGTTGGAAGTTGTAAAGATGTGAGCCCAGAACAATTAGTGCCCACGTCCCCTGCAATGTTAAGAAAATCTTGATGAAATAAAAGAGAACGTGCAGAGATGAGAGATAGAAAATCCCAGAATCATCAAGCTCTGTTTTCGTTCCTAAGAGACCCAGATTGGCCCTGGATCCTGAAGATCTTCCTTCAGTTCTACAAGTTACCTAGTTTCCTTGCTCAGTGTGTTACCTCATGGCACACACAAAAAACAATATCATATGGATGGCAGAGCTCAATGTAAATAGCATGTCATTAAAGCTTCTAAACTGAGTTGATATGGTATATGATAGCCATTAAACACATGTGGTTATTAGCACTTGAAATATGGCTAGTCCAAATTGGTATGTGCTATAGCTATAAAAGAGCCACTGGAATTTAAAATCTTATTTTAAAAAAATACATCTCCTTAATAACTTTATTATTCATATTAATTTCACCTGTCTCATTCTGTTTTTTAATGGAGCTACTTAAAAATTAAAATTATATTTGAAGTTCAAGTTTGTGGCTCACATTATATTTCTAATGGATAGTGCGGATCTAGAAGAAAACATAGAATATATTCCTAAACGTGGTGTAAGTGGGATTTCTAAAGAGGAACACACAAAGTACTAACCATAAAAGAAAAATACATTGGAATATATTAAAATTAAGAATTTAAGTCCATGAAAAGACATGAGAGATTGCCAAAGTGAACCATAAAATGGGAGAAGGGATTTGCAACAAGCAAAGATCTCATTTCCAGAATAAATAATAAATTCCTACAAATCAATAGGAAAAAGACAGACAACCCAATAGAAAATGGGCAAGATATTTGAACAGACGCTTGATAAAATGGCCAATACATTCACGAGAAACTGCTCAACAGCATTAGTCATTAGGACAATTAAAACCACAATGGGATATTAAATTCCACCATCACAGTGGCTTACTTGAGAAAGACTGACAATACCAGGAGTGATAAGAATGTGCAGCAACTTGAACTGTTCTATTCTGCTGCTGGGAGTATAAATTATTGCATTCATTATGCAGGGTTGATTGGTAGTATCTACAAAAGTTAAACATAGCCATACTCTTCGACCAATAAATCCCACTCCTAGGAAAATGTCCAATAAAAATGCAAGGCGTCCATGTACAAAAAGACATGAATGAGAATATTCATCGTAGCTTCACTTCTCATAGCCAGTACTGAAAATAATGCAAGTGTCCATAAACAGTAGAATGGATAGAAGTATCATTGTATTTATTCAGTGAAATACTACAAGACAATAAAAAAGAATGAACAATAACTAAGTACAATATAGATGAATCTCGCATAACGTTAGAAGACAAATACAAAAGTATACATATTATAAGATTTGATTTACATAAAGGTTAAAGGCAAGCAAAATGACTCTATGGTGTGAGAACTCAGTTATCTTGGGGTACGTGGATTCTAGTGATTGAGGGGGGCACTAAGGCAGTTCTAGGGTCCTGGTAATGTACTATTTTACAATCTGGGTAATTACCTGAGTGTTTTAACTTTGTGATAATTCACTGGGCTGTACACTTAGATTTTTGTACTTTTCTATATTTATGTTAAAATTCCATTTTTTTAAAAAAAAGTATCTTAGTTGGAAATTTATGATATCCTCTCAAAAACAGATCAAGCAGTCAAGTAAGCAAAACTATAGAAATTTTGAGGAGCATGATTTTCCTTTTTTTGAGGAAGATTAGCTCTGAGCTAACTACTGCCAGTCCTCCTCTTTTGCTGAGGAAGACTGGCCCTGAGCTAACATCCATGCCCATTTTCCTCTACTTTATATGTGGGACACCTACCACAGCATGGCTTGCCAAGTGGTGCCATGTCTGCACCCGGGATCCAAACTGGCAAATCCTGCGCCACCAAGAAGTGGAATGTGTGCACTTAACTGCCGCACCACCAGGCTGGTCCTTGAAGAACATGATTAAGAAACTTAAGACAGTTCTAAAGAGAACTTCCTATCCACCAAATAGAAAATACAGATTATTATAAAGCATTAACAAAAATGTCATGTCTAAGACACAAGGGAAACTCAAACAAGTTTCAAAGAATTAACATGCAAACTATACACTCTTACCATAATGCAATAAAATATGAAATTAATATAATTATAAAACTAAAAAAATAAATCTTGTTTATCTGGAAATTTAAAAACATATCTACTTATTTTTAGATTAAAGAAGAAATGCAAGGAAAATATTCACAAAATACTTAAAATTGAGTAATAATAGAAATTACATGCTCAAAGTTGTGAGACTCAGTAAAGACTTCTTAATGAAAGGAAAATTTTAAAATATCAGTTATAGTAATCAGAAAATAAGAAAGATTAAGAGCAAATAACCTAAATACTCAGCACAAAATTTAGGAGAAAAAGACTATATTCAAAGAAGAAAAAAAGGTAATTCCAGGAGTGAAAAAAAACAATAGAAAATATTCCCAACAGTAAATTCTAATTATTTGTAAACACTAATTATATAAATAAAAGTCTGACAAAAGCGAACAAGAAAAACTTAGGAA